TTCAAGAGATCACACGACAAACTGTCACCTTGTCTTAATCCTCGTTCGGTATTGAAGGGCTCCGATAGGTCCTTTCCGACTTTAACTGCTGACATTGTACCACTTAAAGTTATCCTGCATAGCCGTATTAATTTTGCAGGAATTCCGAACGTAGACATGGCTTTAAACACCTCTGAACGGATAGGGCTGTAAATTGCGGCTTTATAGTCGACGAATAGGTGGTATGTGTCGATGTGTTTTCGTGGGTCTTTTCCAGGATTTGGAGCGGAGTGAAAATCTGGTCAATGGTGGATTTGCCAGGTCTGAAGCCGCATTGGTATGGTACAATATTATCATTGACCATTGGCTTCAGTCATTCACACAGCACACTCGCTAGCACTTTATATGCGATGGGAAGGAGACTTATTCCTCTATAGTTGGCACATATCGTCTTGTCTCCTTTTTTGTGCAAGGGATCCACGCCTACTGTGGATTTTTATACCACACTGTGGTACACGGTATTATGTCTTTGTGCATATGTTTGTAACAGGGAAAATGAAACGAGATAGACCCATGGTTTCTTTTGAGAATATGCTTAGAATCACTTTCTGAGTCGATTTATGCATGTCCGTGCGCGTCCGCCTGACCGTCTGTCTGTCCATGTTGAATTGTAAACAATGTACAGGTCGCATTTATGATCCGAATTGGATGAAACGTGTTATAGGTCACTTATTTGGCCCAAGGACGAACCCTATTGAAATTGGGAAAAATCGGTTCAGATTTAGATATAGCTCTCTCCGATTTTATGTAAATGGTGTACCATAGTCCCTATACATCCTTCGATTTGCACGAAATTTAGCACAGCGTACTGAATTAAGTCTAGAATGATGTATGTTAAGTTTCATGAAAATCGGGTCAGATTTAGATATAGCTCCCATATATAGCTTCGCCCGATTTAAGGTAAAGGGTGCACCAAAGTCCCTGGAAATCGTTTCATTTGCCTGAATTTTGGCATAGCGTACTGAATTGAGTCTAGAATGATGTGTGCAAAGTTTCGTTAAAATCGGTTCAGATTTAGATATAGCTCCCATATATAGTTTCACCCGATTTTAGGTAAAGGGTGCACCAAAGTCCCTGGAGATCTTTTCATTTGCCTGAATTTTGGCATAGCGTACTGAATTGAGTCTAGAATGTTGTGTGTCGAATTTCCTGAAAATCGGTTCAGATTTAGATATAGCTCCCATATATATCTTCGTCCGATTTAATGTAAATGGTGCACCAAAGTCCCTGGAAATCTTTTGATTTGCACGAAATGTGACATAGCGTAATGAATTAGGTCTAGAATGATGTGCGTCAAGTTTCCTGCAAATCGCTTCAGATTTAGATATAGCTCCCATATATATTTTCGTCCGATTTTATGTAAATGGCGTACCAAAGTCCCTAAATATCTTTCGATTTGCACGAAATTTGACATAGCGTAATGAATTAGGTCTAGAAAGATGTTTGTCGAATTTCGTGAAAATCGGTTCAGATTTAGATATAGCTCCCATATATATTTTCGACCGATTTAAGTTTAATTGTGTACCAAAGTCCCTATATATCTTTCGAATTGCACAAAATTTGGCATAGCGTACTGAATTAAGTCTAGAAAGTTGTCTGTCGAATTTCGTGAAAATCGTTTCAGATTTAGATATAGCTCCCATATATTTTCTTCCGATTTAATGCAAAAGGTGCACAAAAGTCCCTTAGTATCCTTCGATTTCCACGGAACTTGGCATAGCGTAATGAATTGAGTCTAGAATGATGAGTGGTGAGTTTCGTGAAAATCGGTTCAGATTTAGATATAGCTCCCATATATATTTTCGTCCGATTTTAGGTAAATGGTGCACCAAAGTCCCTATATATCTTTCGATTTGGACAAAATTTTGCATAGCGTACTGAATTGAGTGTATAATGATGTGTTCTAAGTAAAATCGGTTCAGATGTAGATAAAGCTCCATTATATATTTTCGTCCGATTTAATAAAAATGTTGCACCAAAATCCCTATATATCTTCCGATTTGCACGAAATTTGGCATAGCGTACTGAATTAAGTCTAGGAAGTTGTTTGTCGAATTTCGTGAAAATCGGTTCAGATTTACGTATAGCTCCCATATATATTTCCGTCCGATTTAATGCAAAAGGAGTGACTTTTTTGATGTCATTTTTGTGGCACAAAAATAGTAGAGTTCATTGAAGTCGACTCTACCCTTTTCTCCCGCATCTAAATTATTACTTGCAATTCATCACATCAACTTCATCAGAATTATATTTACCATTTCATCATCAAACTACTAATCTACTTTGCATAAAATTTCTTATGCACTTTTGCAGTATGGCTTGCATGACTGATTCGCACGTTGTTAACAATCTGGGCTTATTTCTTGACGTTCTGCCTCCGGTCGCACTGCAACATAAGGATAATTAACTCGTTTTACATTCACAGCTTCAGTTTTTTTCTGGGTTAAAATTGTTAATTAGAAAACAGAAATGGCGCCCGAATGCGTCGCTTACTAAGTGTGTGTGAGTGTGTGAGTTTTACGCATCAGCAACTTTAACCAGACGTAATTAATTCGTTAAAAATAAAAAAAATGTGCAACATAATGTTATTCACGTGATGTGAGATGTGGCATTTGTGCTTTTTGCCACGATATAATTTTTAATTAGTAAATTGAGGTAAAACAAGTCAAAGGGTTAGGAAATATTATTTTTTTCTTCTACCCACCCATGTAGGGTTACTTGATATTCAAGTTCAAAGCAAAAATTTCAATATTAAATTGTTAGACAACGTTGATTTTTAAAAAAATTCTGGGGACAAAAATAAAACAGTAATTTCAGGATTGATGTTAGATTTTGGAAATGTCCTTTAAAGACTTTAGAATATAAAAATAAATTTTATTTAAAAAAAAAAAACAAATCTAAAAATATTTACAAAAAACTTGACATTTACTCTCTTACATATACACATACATCTACAGACTAGTTATTTCGGAATCTCCGTTTTGTATGGCAGCATTATTACCATTTTGATGGCCATTTTCCACTTTGGCAGCAGTGTCGGCTTTCATTTGAGATTTGCGGCGTCTGACAACAACATAACAAATACTGTTCCGAATTTCAAAGACAAAGGCAGTGGAAAATGGAAACCCCAATTTCACAAAGAAAACATAGAGAGAGAAAAAAGGGAAAAAAGAGGAAGAAAAAAGTAAAAATTTCGAAATTAGTTCATTTAGCCAATTTTTGCACTTCACGAAATTTCAAAGTCTTAATTAAATATACTGACATAAAAACAATGATATTGGGTATCGCAAACACTTCGCTGAATAGGAAAATTGCCCCCGGGAATGAGTCCACAGTAGTTTCATAAATATCACTATAGATGGGTATGAAAATCAATTGGGCCAATGGTTGACAGATACTGAAGAGGGAGAACATTTTACCTAGAAAATAGAAGGTACGAAAAAGAGGATTTTATTCTGCAGAAATTTTAAATTGGGTATTTAAAGTGATACTTACTCAGCTCCTCGCCATCTACAATACTCGAACCGATCGTCTTAATGGCAATTACACGTAAGGTGGCAAAACTGTCGGCCACACCACCGGCATAAAATGTGGCTGTGTCACTGGAAAAGGCCTGAAAGGGGACAAAAAAGAAATCGGCTTCAATTTGTTGTAACAAAACTACGCGGCTGATGGTCCTTGGAAATCTATTATAAATTTTAAAAACTCTCTCCTAAATGTATGCCATAAAAACAATTTTTAAAAACTCCCTCCTAAATGTATGCCATAAAAACAATTAAAAAAATCCCCTCCTGGAGGTGTGCCATATTTTTTTTAAATCCCATTAAAATCATTTTTAAAAATCCACGCCTTGAGTTATGCCCCAAAACTAATTTTTAAAAAATCCACGCCTTGAGTTATGCCCTAAAAATATTTTTTAAAAATCCACGCCTTGAGCTGTGCCCTAAATAATTTTACACAATTTTTAAAAATCCACGCCTTGAGCTATGCCCGAAATAATTTTAAATAATTTTTAAAAAATCCACGCCTTGAGTTATGCCCTAAAAATAATTTTTAAAAAATCCACGCCTTGAGTTATGCCCTAAAAATAATTTTTAAAAAATCCACGCCTTGAGTTATGCCCTAAAAATAATTTTTAAAAAATCCACGCCTTGAGTTATGCCCTAAAAATAATTTTTAAAAAATCCACGCCTTGAGTTATGCCCTAAAAATAATTTTTAAAAAATGCACGCCTTGAGTTATGCCCTAAAAATAATTTTTAAAAAATCCACGCCTTGAGTTATACCCTAAAAATAATTTTTAAAAAATCCACGCCTTGAGTTATGCCCTAAAAATAATTTTTAAAAAATCCACGCCTTGAGTTATGCCCTAAAAATAATTTTTAAAAAATCCACGCCTTGAGTTATGCCCTAAAAATAATTTTTAAAAAATCCACGCCTTGAGTTATGCCCTAAAAATAATTTTTAAAAAATCCACGCCTTGAGTTATGCCCTAAAAATAATTTTTAAAAAAATCCACGCCTTGAGTTATGCCCTAAAAATAATTTTTAAAAAATCCACGCCTTGAGTTATGCCCTAAAAATAATTTTTAAAAAATTCACGCCTTGAGTTATGTCCTAAAAATAATTTAAAAAAAAATCCACGCCTTGAGTTATGCCCTAAAAATAATTTTTAAAAATATCCAAAAAAAGTTTTTCTTTAGATCCTTGAAAAAATATTATTTAAAAAATCTACGCCTTGTTGATCCTTGAAAAAATATTCTTTAAAAAATCTACGCCTTGTTGATCCTTGAAAAAATATTATTTAAAAAATCTACGCCTTGTTGATCCTTGAAAAATATACTTAAAAAACTCTACGCCTTGTTGGTCCTTGAAAAAATATTCTTTAAAAACTCTACGCCTTGTTGATCCTTGAAAAATATTTTTTAAAAAAATCTACGCCTTGTTGATCCTTGAAAAAATATTCTTTAAAAAATCTACACTTTGTTGATCCTTGAAAAAATATTTGTTAAAAAAGCCACGCCTTCGATGGACCATGAAAAAATATTCTTTAAAATGTCTACGCCTTGAAGGACCCTAAAATATTCATTAAAAATCTACACCAAGTAGGACCTTGGAAAATATTCTTTAAAAAATCTACAGCTCCTAGGACCTTGAGAAAATATTCTCTAAAGGATCCACCAAAAAATTTTGTATATACAAATCCAAGCTTATAGCTTTGATTCCTTGACAATTTCCCCGATACTTACAAAAAGCACTCTCGACAAGGCTGTTGTCAGGGCGGATACAAAACCCACCAAGGAATCGGAAAGTTTCAGCAATTTACTCAGAATGGCAGTTCCTATAAAGGTGCCTAAAATAAAAAAAAATTAAATGAAAATTTCCTCTCTCACTCTTACATTCCCAACTTACCCGCCACAGCCAAGGCCGAATTAAATGTTGAATAGACACTATAATCATTGCCATTCCAATTTAGCTTTCTAAATGTAAAACGATTCCAGAAATCATTCTCTCCCAGAGCCGGACCAATGGTAAACATATAGGCCATAATTAAAAATATCAACAGCATACGACCACGATTTGGACGTTTTTTCAATGGAAATTTCACATAATCCACAACCAATGTTGGGTCAAAGAAATCCAATAGGGCATTACGTTTTGCAGGTTTAGAGGTTGGAGATTTGTCTACGGTATCAATGCCATTGTTGTTGTGTCTTGGTGCTGTGGGTAGATCTTCTAGTTGTGTCACTTCATAAGCGGGATTTTCAGTGCCCGTTTTTGGCGTGGCATCTGTGGCGTCCGTCTTCGTTGCCAGTGGCTTGAGTTCTTTGATTATGAAGATGACATAGAGTAGGGCAATGATGTTGAATGAGAAGGCCATGGTAAAGGACCCTGGTGGAGGAAACAAAAAGAAAAATATTTAATAAAAAAATAAATATATTGTCCTGCTCAGTACTTACATGTATAGCCTAGATAATTGAAAAGTACCCCACTTATGGGCTGACCTATAAAGGGTAGGCCGGTGGTGAACATGGCAAAAATACCGAATCTAAAAAAGGAAAAAAAAAATAAAATTAATAAAAAATATGCGCCTTAGGCCAAAGGTCTAAAAAGAAAGCGTGGAATATTTTTCCAAGGGCCAACAAGGCGTGGATTTTATAAGAAATATTTTTCCAAGGATCAACAAGGCGTGGATTTTATAAGGAATATTTTTCCAAGGACCAACAAGGCGTGGATTTTATAAGGAATATTTTTCCAAGGACCAACAAGGCGTGGATTTTATAAGGAATATTTTTCCAAGGACCAACAAGGCGTAGATTTTATAAGGAATATTTTTCCAAGGACCAACAAGGCGTGGATTTTATAAGGAATATTTTTCCAAAGACCAACAAGGCGTGAATTTTTTAAAGAATATTTTTTCCAAGGAGCAACAAGGCGTGGATTTTATAAGGAATATTTTTCCAAGGACCAACAAGGCGTGGATTTTATAAGGAATATTTTTCCAAGGACCAACAAGGCGTAGATTTTATAAGGAATATTTTTCCAAGGACCAACAAGGCGTGGATTTTATAAGGAATATTTTTCCAAGGATCAACAAGGCGTGAATTTTTTAAAGAATATTTTTTCCAAGGACCAACAAGGCGTGGATTTTATAAGGAATATTTTTCCAAAGACCAACAAGGCGTGAATTTTTTAAAGAATATTTTTTCCAAGGACCAACAAGGCGTAGATTTTATAAGGAATATTTTTCCAAGGACCAACAAGGCGTGGATTTTATAAGGAATATTTTTCCAAGGACCAACAAGGCGTGGATTTCATAAGGAATATTTTTCCAAGGACCAACAAGGCGTGGATTTTATAAGGAATATTTTTCCAAGGACCAACAAGGCGTAGATTTTATAAGGAATATTTTTCCAAGGACCAGCAAGGCGTGGATTTTATAAGGAATATTTTTCCAAGGACCAACAAGGCGTGGATTTTATAAGGAATATTTTTTCCAAGGACCAACAAGGCGTGGATTTTATAAGGAATATTTTTCCAAGGACCAACAAGGCGTGGATTTTATAAGGAATATTTTTCCAAGGACCAACAAGACGTGAATTTTAATAAAGAATATTTTTTTCAAGGACCACCAAGGGCAATATTCAATATTCCAAAGACCAACAAGGACCACCAAGGGCAATTTTCATAAAAAAATATTTTTTGAAGGACCAACAAGGCGTGGATTTTTTAAATAATACGTTTTCCAAGGACCACAAAACTGAGGAATTTTTAAACAAAGTTTTTTTTCCACAGTACTAACAAGCTGCGGATTTTTTCCCCAGAAGAAACTCTATTAGACACGCTATTGAACGAAGTACTTTAGTACTCTTTCCCAACTTACCTAAATATACGATCTGCTTCTGGTGTCGATATTGTCATATAACTATCAATGGCCATCAAACATAGAGTTTGTCCACCAAACAATGCTGGGACAATTGCCTCACTATATGCTCCAAATTCCATGGGGATTTTATCGAAAAATATTGCCGATACCAAGAGACCTGCAAAGGGGATTTTTTTAAATAAATTTGTTTTCGAATTATTTTTTTCTGGGTCCCTATACTTACACAAAAACATCAAACTTTCACCGATTATTGGAAAAACCATACAGGCCTTGCGTTTATTATAACGATCACTCCAGCCGCCAGCGAATAGCATCACGATCAATGGGAAAATTGCAGCTGGGAATGGGAAAATAAAAATAATTAAAAAATATAAAAAAACCAGAGAGCGGAGCAGTATAGTCGGGCGGGGCCGACCATTTGATACCCTACATTCTATATTCTGAGCTTGGACAATATTTGAACCATCTTGACAAACTAGAGGTCAAAAAATATTACTAATATTCAGTAAAGCCCTTCCCTTCACAGTGGGTTGTGTTATTATGTTCGGCTTTCAATTGTGGCCTATAGATCGACTCGAAAAAAAAACCCAAAAAATTAACTTGTCGGTCCGCTTTATCCCAATATTATCTGATCATCACCGAAAATTATAGGCGTTGTCCTTGACCATACCTGCGCTATATTTTCGCCCTCTAGGGTGGAAATGGATTACTAAATAATATCTGAACACGTAAGCTCCTGTAAATATTTAAGTGTAACTCCCACATCCGAGTACAGTTGACAATGTAATTGGTATTAATTTAAAGGTCAACAACTTCTTTTGGATATACTATTAACTTCTCGGGTCTATGTCCTTCAGGGGTAAATCTGTACGCTATAGAATACAAATTTTGTCATTTTTCACACAAAAGTCATGGTCCATCTGACCCGCTAAATATTGACTGATCTTTATCAAAACAAGCATGCTTATTCTTTGGCCCGAACCCCTTCTCCATGTAAAAATTCGCGATGTTGGGGCCATAATTGCGGCGTCTGTAACGACCAGAAAACCCGACAAAAATAAAGTTTTTGGTCCATTACATCCCCTAAATATTAACCGATCTTTACCAAAAACAATGGGGGTCTTTATTGGTCTTCATTGGCCAGAGTCCATCCTACATGCTAAATTTCGAGAAGATTGGTCCATAACTGTGGCCTGTATCGTATTTACAAATTGTAATGGACGGACGGACGGACAGACACACATGTCTAGATCGACTCAGCTAGTCCAGATATGACGATCGGTATACTTAAAAGTGGGTCTGGGACCAATATTTCGCGGCGTTACAATCTCTTGGGGCTACACAAAGCTATAATACTCTGACAACATAGTTGTGTAAGGTATAAAAAACATATTTTGGGTCTCCTAAAATGAGAGCGGATTTTTTCAAAATATCTTGGGGTATCTTTCAATTAGTTCGGATAATAAAAAAATATATGTTTAAGGTCCCTCGACAAACATAGGTTCTTTTATAATTATTTTTGGAGGGTCTCTCTATAAGCATATATTTTGTTAGATTTTTTTCAGAGGCCTTATTAGTCCCACAACAATCGTGGGCTTTTTATATCCTTCACCACACTGTGGTACAGGGTATTATGTCTTGGTGCATATGTTTGTAACAGGCAAAAGGAAACGTGATAGACACATGGTTCCTTTTGAGAATATGCATAGAATCTAAGTCGATTTATGCATGTCCGTCCGTCCGTCCATGTTACATTGTAAACAAAGTACAGGTCGCATTTTTAGTCCGAATTGGATGAAATTTGGCACATCTCATTTATTTGGCCCAAGGAAGAACCCTATTGAAATTGAGAAAAATCGGTTCAGATTTAGATATAGCTCCCATATATATTTTCGTCCGATTTAAGGTAAATGGTGCACCAAAGTCTCTGAATATTTTTCGATTTGCACGATATTTTGCATAGCGTACTGAATTGAGTCTAGAATGGTGATTTAGTTATAGCTCTCATATATATTTTCGTCCGATTTAAGGTAAATGGAGCATCAGAGTCCCTATATATCTTTCGATTTGCACGAAATTTGCCATGGCGTACTGAATTAGGTCTAGAGTGATGTGTGTGATGTGTTTTAAGTTTCCTGAAAATCGGTCCAGATTTAGATATAGTTCCCATATATAGTTTCATCCGATTTTAGGTAAATGGTGCACCAAAGTCCCTATATATCTTTCGATTTGCACGAAATTTGGCATATCGTACTGAATTAAGCCTAAAATGATATGTGTTAAATTTCGTAAAAATCGGTTGAGATTTAGATATAGCTCCCATATATATATATATATATATATATTTTCGTCCGATTTTACGTAAATGGTGCACCAAAGTCCCTAAATATGCTTCGATTTGCACAAAATGTTGCACAGCTTAATGAATTAAGTCTTGAATGATGTGTGTTAAGTTTCCTGAAAATCGGTTCAAATTTAGATATAGCTCCCATATATAGTTTCGCCCGATTTTATGTAAATGGTGCACCAAAGTCCCTTTATATCATTCGATTTGCACAAAATTTGGCATAACGTAATCAATTAAGCCTTGAATGATGTGGGCTGAGTTTCGTGAAAATCGGTTCAGATTTAGATATAGCTCTCATATATACTTTCGTCCGATTTCATGTAAATGGTGCACCAAAGTCCCTATATATATTTCGATTTGCACGAAATTTGGCATAGCGTACTAAATTAAGTCTAGAGTGATGTGTGTTAAGTTTTGTGAAAATCGGGTCAGGTTTACATATAGCTCCCATATATATTTTCGTCCGATTTTATGTAAATGGTGCAAAAAAGGTCCTACATATCCTTCGATTTGTACGAAATTTTGCATAGCGTACTGAATTAAGCCTAGGATAATGTCTGTCAAGTTTCGTAAAAATCGGTACAGGTTTAGATATAGCTCCCATATATATCTTCGTAATATTTTAGGAAAATGGTGCACCAAAGTACCTATTTATCTTTCGATTTACACGAAATTTTGCATAACGTATTGAATTGAGTCTAGAATGGTAGTAAGTTTCGGGGAAATCGGTTCAGATATTGATATAGCTCCAATATATTTTCTTCCGATTGTATGTAAATGGTGCACGAAAGTTCCTATATATCCTTCCTTTTGAACGAAATTTGGCACAACGTACTGACTAAGGTTAAGAATGATGTGTGTTAAATTTCGTGATAATCGGTTCAGATTTAGTTATAGCTCCCATATATATTTTCGTCCGATTTAATGTAAATGGTGCTCCAAAGACCCTATATATTCTTCGATTTGCACGAAATTTGGCATAACGTACTGAATTGTGTCTGGAATGATGTGTGCTAAGTTTCGAAGATCCGTTCAGTATTAGATATAACTCCCATATATATTTTCGTCCGTTTTTAAATAAATGGTGCACCAAACTCCTAATGTTTGTCCGATTAATACGAACTTTTGCACAACGTATCAAATTGAGACTTGAATGGCGTTATTTTTTGTCCCATGGTAGGCATACGACTCTAAATCTGCCCGAATGAAATTAAATTTATCAAAGGTGACATGAGTATGTTCCTTCGTGGGAACATTGACATGCAATTGTAAGGATACATATGTTAATTATACCCAAAGTGGTGAAGGGTATCATATAGTCGGCCCAGTCCGACTTTACTACTTGGATTTTTTAAAAATAAGTTTTAATGGTTTTTTTTCAAGGTCATCTAAAAGCGTGGATTTTATAAAAATATTTTTTTCGGCATCATCTGCATCTGAGATTTCTGCTATAATCGTAGATTTTTATACCCCCCACCAATGAATAAAATTCTATGTCGATTTACGCATGTCCATCTGTTAAAATCACGATAGAGATTGCAATATTTAATATAGAGCTCTGAAATTTCACACAGACATTGCTAGTTCTCCTAGGATGTTTGGTGTTGCAAATGGGATATATCGGTCCACGTTTCAGTCTAGGAGTTAGATTAAAATCTGCTCATATTTAGATATAGCTCTCATAAAGAATCTCTTCCGGTTTTATATAAATGGAGCATCAGGTTCTTCAGGTTGGCACAAAATTGAGTCTAGAAGTGGGGTTTCTGTTTATTATTATTTCATTTATAATTTTCATTATTTTAATTACTTTTAATTTTCAATGGGCTGGTAAATCAATTCCAATGCTTGTTAAGCTTTTTAACTTTGCACATATATATTTGAAGATTTAAAAGAGAAGAAAAATAATTTACAAACAATTTTTGTTATTGTTTTGTTGTTGTTTTTTGTAATTAAAGAAAAGTCCTTATTTTTGATGGCGGGCATGATAACTCCTCACTGGAACATCGGAATCCGAAAATTCCAACGGTGTTAGAAAGAGTACATGTCTGGCTCTCGTATGAACTAGGATTATTGACTTCGCTCTAAAATTAACAAAATGGTGGACCTTTGAAAAAATATTTTTGGAAAATCGCCGATTTTTTACCAAAAACCAAATTAAAAAATAAGGAAGATCTCCACCGATTGGCTTTATCCTAGTTCATACGATAGCTATACACTCCCAGAGAAACGTGTAAAAATTTTAAGTCGATTGGGTTATTAGTTTTTGAGTTATCGTGCCCGCCATTCGCAAAAAAATGTTTAGAGAAAAACGCGTTTAAAGTTTGAGAAGCCCTTCAGCCGTCACTTGATGCTGACACAATAAATCGGGTATATCTTCAAGAGCTCTTGAGATTTTCATTTGAAATTTTGTAGGGACATTCTTTAATTAGTGTAGATTCGAATTATATCCACAATATTTTTGACCCCGAGAATGGGGAGTCCCCTTAAATATTTTTAGGGATCAACATTAGGCTGGATTTTTGAAAATATTTATTTTTTTAATATTTTTAGGGATCATCATTTTTATACCTTTCACCACACTGTGATATAGGGTGTTATGTCTTTGTGTTATGTTTGTATGCATAGAATCACTTTTTAAGTCGATTTATGCATGTCCGTCCGTCCGTCTGTCCATGTTAAATTGTAAACAAAGTACAGGTCGCATTTATGATCCGAATTGGATGAAATTAAGCACAGCTCATTTGTTTGGCCCAATGGCGAACCCTATTGAAATTGCGAAAATTCGGCTCAGATTTAGATATGCTCGCATATATATTTTCGTTCGATTTAAGGTAAATGGTGCACCAATGGCCCTAAATATTTTTGCACGAAATTTGGCACAGTGTACTGAATCAAGCCTAGAATAATATGTGCTTTCATATATACTTTTGTCCGATTTAATATAAATGGTGCACCAAATTCCCTATATATCTTTCGATTTTCACGAAATT